GGTTATACATTTCAAATAAATGGTGCTGCTGTTAGCTGGCGAAGCAAAAAAGCAAACTTGTGTAGCATTATCAACAGCTGAAGCTGAATACGTTGCTTCATCTGCAGCTGCTCAAGAGGCATTGTGGATGCGACAATTGTTGACAGATCTTAATGTAAACATTGATGAACCAATGACCATTTACGAGGACAATCAGTCAGCTATTGCTATGTCCAAGAACCCACAATTGCATGGACGATCTAAACACATAGACATCAAATATCATTTTGTACGAGATCAAGTAGAAAAGAAAACATTAACTGTTCTTTACCGTCCAACAGGTAGCATGTTAGCTGATTTATTCACGAAGGGTATTCCAAAGGAACAATTTAAGAAACTGCGTGAACTAACAGGTGTTGCAATAAAACCTAAGTAGGTAGATAAACATTCGAATTGCGAATGAGAAGGAGTGTTGAATTAGTTGATATTACGTCATGCATTCTGATTCGAACTTTTGGTGTATCCATTTTAGTGCCTCGTGTAATTGTTCGTTGCAGTTCTTGTTCAAGTTGTATCTCGATATATTTTACTCATTAAATGGTCATATTTTATCACAAAAATGTGACTGTTCGAATAAATATTCAAATCCAATAATCTGACAGGTGCTTTCCGTGTTCTACCAGAAGTCCTTGGTTCTGTGGATACTTCTTCTCCCACTTTTTCTTCTTCGAATTCCACCGTTTCGTCTTTCACGTCTTCTGTCGTTTGATCTTGAGATTTTGTCGTCATCATTTCGTCCTTGTCGCCAAAATCGTTTTCATTGAACTCGACATCCCTTCGGACGACCATCTTTCGCTTGATTTCATCGAACAAACGGTATCCTTTTGACGTACGACAATAACCAACAAAGCGTAGTCTTTCCGCTTTCTTGTCCAATTTTTGTCGTTTGCTGTCTGGAACATGGGCGAAGGCCATACACCCAAACACACGGAAATGACTGACGTTCGGTTTTCTTTCATACCATCGCTCGTACGGCGTTGTATTCCCTTTGATTGCTGTCGTAGGCATTCGATTTCTCACATAAACAGCCGTGGAAATGGCTTCAGCCCAGTACATCTTAGGTAATCTTGCTTGTGCGATCATCGACCGAGCAGACTCGACCAACGTTCTATTCATACGTTCAGCGACACCATTTTGCTGAGGAGAATATGGAACAGTTAATTCATGCTTAATACCTTTCGCTTTGAGATAATCTTGAAATTCTGTGGAAAGATACTCGCCACCATTATCAGTTCGCAATATTCCTATCGATCTTCCAGCCTCGTTCGTTGCTGCAGCCTCAAACTCTTTAAATTTCTCCAGAACTTCTAACTTCTGCTTCATAAAGTACACTGCACAACATCGAGAGTAATCATCAGTGAACGTCACGAAATATCTTGCTCCGCCAAATGACTCTGTTTGCATTGGACCACACACATCGCTATGTACTAGCTGTAGCTTGTGAGATGAACGAATTTCTTCCCGAGCAAGAAATGGCTTTCGATGCATTTTTCCAGCCAAACATGCTTCGCAGAACGAAAGTTTGTCAACGTTTTCACAACAAATTCCTTTCACAATATTATTCTTAATGCAGCTATTTAGTCGTTGCTCGTGTACGTGTCCCAACCGTTGATGCCAAAGATCACTACTTTCCTGTGAAGCTAACGTAGCGTGTCCGTTTGAGACGTCTTCGCAATCCAACTTGTACAACTTGTTGGCTAATGATCCCATTCCTCGTAGTCTCCCACTGGCATCACTTATCCAGCATTTATCACCACGAAACTTCACCACGTTACCTTTCGCAACGGCAGCTCGAACGGAAAACAGGTTAGAGGTAAGCTTTGGAACATACAACACATTACACAGTACACCTCGCTTCGACTTGCTCCCAGAGAACAACATATCCATATGCACGTTACCAGATCCCAACGCTTGTACAACACGACCATCTCCCAAGGCAACGCTTTCGGGTTCCCCAAACTGTTGATAATTCACCAGAACACTTTTTTCCTTCGTCATATGACTTGAAGCTCCAGAATCGATCAACCAATGACAATCAGAAAGCTTTGCATTTCCCTCGGAAACTGTAAATACACAAGCACTACTTTCAGATTCACTATCAGAGTTTTGGGTCTTTCCGACTTTTGCTCCATGTCTTGATTTATACACTGGCTTTGTATATCTCGCTTTTTCCTGAGGGCAATTTCGACGAATATGGCCAACAGTTCCACACTTAAAACACGTCCGACTTTCCTGAAAATTTTTATTTCGGTTTCCCATTAAGGCAGACTCATTCTTAACTGACTCGTTCTTAGGTCCTTGCTTCGATTCTTCATGCATAAAAGCTTGTTGAACGAAGTCCATTTTCACATCATCAACTCTGGCTTCTAAAGCAGTTACGAGAGTTGCATAACTTCTAGGCAAACTTCCTAATAAAGTCACAACTTGATCCTCTTCAGATGCGATGTCCTTCATGTGTTTCAAATGTTTCTCCATAGAAGTTCCTTCTATCATCTCCGTTCGGAAATACTTTTTCTTTAAAAACAGTTTGTTCGCCAACGTATCTCGCTCAAAATGATTCTTTAGTGCATCCCACGCTTGCTTCGGATTTTCACATGAGCTAACCAAATATAGCTGAGCTGATTTAATTGCTAAAACAATTGTTGAGAACGCCCTTTGCGCTTTCGAACGAAATTGTGCCGCCGTTTCTCCCGAAGCTGACCCTGCTAGCTCTACCGAACCGTCTACGAAACCCCACAGCCCTTTCGCCAACAGCAAATGCTTCATTTGAAACTTCCAAGTACTCCAATTGCTCCCGTCTAACTTGTCGATTGACCATTTTTCCTCCATTAGTCGTCAACAGACCAGCACGAGTTATTATTACAAGCGGTTATTTGTTCAGCAAACTGAAGTTCTATCGAAAAACCGGCGACGTAGGATTGTTAAACGATCCTAACAGCATGTTCTGGGCCCATAACCTGTAGACAAACTCACAATCCGAGTGTTGTTTTGCGATAAATGTATTTCTAACTAAAAAACTTTTACAACAACAACATGTTATATGCAGTGTTGTAACGAGTCGAGTCATTGACTCTGACTCGAGTCAACTCGAGTCGCTATTTTCAGCGACTCGACTCGACTCGAGTCCAATACGAAAAATGACTCGACTCGACTCAACAGCCCCAAATGACTCGACTCGGACTCGACTTGCTGATTTTGCCGTAAATGACTCGAGTCAACTCAGCTACAACTTGTACAGAGTAAATTCATCACAATTATTGTGATTGTATTGCTTGGGAAGAACAATGAGCCCTGTAAACAATGAGAACTTTGAAATTTATCAGAAAATATATGGGATTTGCATAGAATATATTCCTGACGGGCATACCTATATTACATTTCTGTTTTTAGAAACAACGCTAGTGCCACAGTTTTTTAAAATTAAGTCGCAAAATATTTTGTACTTATACTAATTCTGACAGGCTATTTTCATTTTTGGTATTTATGAAGGGCTATATAATTTCAAATCAACTTACAAAGCGTTGTTAGTTAAAGTCTATTCTTTGTTAATTCTGACTCCAGTTGCAAGTTTTGCTAGTTGTATGTACGTACACTCGATCAGCAGGTATGATGAGACATCTCACGTGGTTGACTGGAACTGTGATATTGGCACAGCCTATAGCTGCCCAGATACTGTTATTAATTTAAATGACTAAAGTAATTAGTTTAAAACCCAAATTTGATTACTAATTTCCGACAGCAAGCTAGGGTAGCTCAAGTAAAGTCTAGAAATTGACTCGACTCGACTTAAATCAGTGACTCGACTTGACTCGAGTGAAGCCGCTGACTCGACTCGACTCGACTCGAGTGAAGCCACTGACTCGACTCGACTCGACTCGATCAAAAACTGAAATGACTCGACTCGACTCGTGACTCGACCTTTGAGTGACTCGACTCGACTCGTGACTCGACCTGTAGGTGACTCGTTACAACACTGATTAAAACAGATGTTAAGAAGTAAGTGAAAATGTGAATTTTGTGAATTATATTTTAATTAAAATGTTTCAGATGGTCTGCTAATGCCAAACTACAAGCGTGACAGAGCTGTCAGTAAACCCATATTTCAATGTTTATGTTGTATTGACCCAACTTCTTTGAGGTATAGCTTAAAAATGAGGGTATGCTCATCACTTGAAACTAGCTATAAATCAAAGTTTTATCTATTGTTCTTTTATTAGAATTAAAATCGTTCATGGGAAAAATGTGCCAAAGGGTTGAAATTGCCCTTGTAAATGTACACTATTTTTGACATGTTTGGGTTAGTATTTTGAAAAGGTGTTTTGGAAGGAAAATATGTCTTGAACAATACTGGTTGAGCCTTAAATTATAACTAGTGTCATGTAAATTACAGAAAATTGAAAAAAATCTGGTCCATACACAATATTTTGAATTTTACAAGGTCCCGAATGGGGCTTATTTCAATGTTGAATCTGTTTACCTGGAAAAACTTAGAAAATTGAATAAGTCAAGAATTTGACTATGCTCATCATCCAAAACCAGGTTTTTCTAATTGCTTTTTCACCTGGGTTTGTGGCAATACCAGTTAGGCGACCATGAAAAATGCGCGCGGCACTTTTTTTGGACACTGAAGATGGTGACATTTGATGTTGTCATATATTGCCATCCTCTTATCATAGCATAACTTAACATATTTTAGTGAGTTTGTTAAAGTGTTGTGCTCACTATATGCCTGTAGTATCTAAGATTTTTTCATGGCTTTATATGATAAATTTAAGTTCTGTTTTCTTTTATTTTTAGGTGATAGTATCTGTTCACATGAGTGTTGGTATCAAATTTTGCACAAGATTCAATTATTATTTCACATTCCTTTACTCAAATATGCAAATAAATGGAATATGACATCAATCTGGAGGACTAGATCCTGTTTCCAAACTTGTTTTTGTAAAAATAGAAAATAACAACTTATTCTGTGTTGTTCTAATAAAAACTATTGTTTTTGATATGCATATTTAATTTTTAAAATTACATTTCATTCTTTGTTAAAATGTGTCCCAGGAATACTGAAATCTTTCAGATCAACTAACAATACTTTTATAACTTATATAGCCAAGTGTTCTATCTATTTCTGTTCAGACTAAACAAATGATGGGTAAAATATTAGATTAGATTTTTTCAAAAATATGAGCTTGCCTGTTTTGAAAGCATAAAAATAAATAAAATAAAGCAAAAGTACTTATTTTTAATTTAAAATCTTTGGACTGTACAGCTTAATGTTTTCCACTAAATATTACAAGTTTTCGTTCATTAAAATGTTGTTTTATCAGCTTTAAAACCAGATAAATCGACGAAGCACTCCTAAATATATGTCGCCATATTGATTTTCTTCGCGCATGCTCAGACAAATTGCCTACCTGTTAGTAAATTCCATTTATGAACTCCGAATTTTACGTATGAGAAATTACTGTTTCACATTTGAAAGTTTCACATGTGAAATTGATTTCACATTCATGTGAAGTGTTCCAATTCCAAACGTTGATTTCACATGTGAAATGGACTTCACATAGTGAAACTTTCACATATAAAAATTTAGAAATGTCAACTGTTCCAAAATTACACGGATTTCACATGTGAAATTTCAGCAAGGGCCCCTCGTACTTATTCTTTGCTATGTTTTGTCGTGGTCGGAAGCTCCTAATTAACTATTCCCAGAAACACTAAGAATGTGATCAGTTGTAATCGGTGGTTATACCTCTTATAGTTCGGCCTTAGAATGTATTACTTACCTGTATTGAACATTGGCAGCAGCCGTTTTCTTATCAAGAAAAACAATTGTATAAACACAATCTAATGTGAGTGCCACCAACTGACATATTAAACACATTAAAAAATCCTTTTTGAACGCTTTCAAACCCCATAGCATGGCAAGGCAGCCCGGAAACCATGCAAACAGCGGGACTAATGCAGCGCACATTCCTGCAATACGTATGATCCGTGATGGAACACTAAAATTATGGTGTATCCATGCTACACACGAGTTAGTTGTATTCAAATCTACATAGACAAGTCCAACTATTAGCAACCCTAATACGAAAACAACGGCCATTAGTAATCCGACATTTGCCTTAGAACTTCGGATAAATGATTCGCAGAAATTTCGCCTGCGTTGCTGATCATCTTGCAGCAAAACAGATAAATCTTCTTCATAAGAAGGCACCTCCATCGGTGCTCCTTGCTCGTACTCACAGTATATTAAGTCGTCGTACACTTCGTTCTGACTTCCTTCAGTTATCAAGGTGTATTCCCTTTGTAAATTTTCTCTTGACATCGGCGGTGTTTGAATAATCAAACTCGAAACAAGGGCGACAAAACTACCAACAAGTTCTTCCAGAATCATTATTCTGATAAAATTAAAGAAACGTCACTTTAGCAAATTATTTATATATACTCGTGTAGATAGAACAGTGCACTGAGAGGTATTGTAAATATCAGTTGTGAACGGAAGGAAGTTTATGTTGGATATGCTTGGAAAACATATTTCCATGCAGAGTATTCTCAAGAAAGTATGCGGAATGTTTGTAATAATTTGCATATAAATCACTTGTCGAGTGTATAAATGAATGTTAATTAATATATAAATCCACGAAAGCTACTTTATACATACTACTCATACTATGCTAGGCATAACCACGGGTTAACAGAGCAACCAAACTCAAAATACTTTTAATTTAAAATTGAAAAGGAATAAATATGCAAGGAAATGTAACGTTCTCAATAAAATTCCGACGCAAAGCCGAGTTTATAAAATAAGCGAATAAGCCAATATATCTTGGCTACCCTCACCTTGCATGCTTGATGCTTCCTTTTAAATTTATATCAAAATTAAAACACTTCAATATATTAAAGACAGGTGGTGTACTATAATACTAAAACAATGATTAAAACAAAAATACTAAAACATTATTCGCCTCAGGCTCGGTGATTATCGGGGAATGTTCACCTCGACTTCGTCTCGGTGAATATTCCCCCGATAATCACCTCGCCTTCGGCGAATAATTGTTAATTGTCAACACGAGTGGGAATTGGGAAAACGAGAAATTGTGTGTAAATGTTTAGTAAAAAGTTTTAAAAATGAACTTTGGAACTTCATGGTTGACACGCATGCGTATTGCATCCATTTTATTATTGCCTGCTCAATAAATGTTTGATTGCGGACCGGTTGCCGAACATGACGTTTTTGTGGACCGGCACGTGACACGGTTTTGACCAATCGGCAAACAGAAAAATTGAACTTTGACACTAACTATATAACAATTATCAATTATTGGACGAGGTTGAGCAAAATATCATGATTTGCAATTGTCGGTGGCGAATTAAACAAACAAAAATTTTTAAAAAATGAAAAGTCATTAAGTTCATTAACTTTTCACACAATTCCCCGCCAGTTTCACATAAAACACCGCGCTGAAATATCTCGGGTCCGTCTAGCCTGCGTGCAGCCTGACTTTAAATGGAGAGAAGTCAGTCTGCGAATCAGGGAACAATACCGTGTTTGCGCCATCTTTTGAATTGCATGGATTTCTGTATTCAAACATGATTGACTATTGCTCGGAAGCTTATTACACGCGCTACGATTGGCCAATCATTGATATATTCAGTTGAACAAAATAATATATTTAGCAAAATGGCAACTTAAGGACCCTCAATGAGAAACCTTTCATATCTTTTGTATGGGTTTTGTGCATAAATTACGCACAACATTGCTCTTCGTGTTTTTATCCGCCATTTTTTCATTCTGGAATGTTGTTTGAACTACGGTAAATATATTAACGAATTCAATTGGCCAATCGTAGCACGTGTACTAAGCTTCTGAGCAAGAGCCAATCACGTTTGAATACAGAAACCATGCAATTCAAAAGATGCCACGAACACGGTATTGTTTCCTGATTTGCAGACTGACTTCTCCCCATTTAAAGTCAGGCTGCACGCAGGCTAGGATCCGTCTAGGTCCTGCAAAGTACCCCTACAGAACAGGGTGGACTTTTGTCGACGCTGCATAAAAATAGTGCGGGCTCGTGAGCTTTATCCCGCAAATTTTGTTTTTCGATGTTTGGCTTACAATTTCTAAGGATGTTGAAGTTTACAGCATTGTGATTCACTGGTTTTTGAAAGCAATGGGGTAATCGACAGACATTGTAAGATGTTTCCTGATTGACTTTTTTGAATTTCTGAGCGACAGGGATACCACGCAGACAGTGGAAAGAACAAATATGATGTTACTAGGTAATCTAAAGGGAAATTATTTTTGAGTGAGTGAATATTGAGTTTTTAATCTTTATTTCCTCGAACTATACCTATATAATGCATGAAATAATTATATCGCTCAAGAGGTTGTCCAATCAGTCGGTCATGCAAACGATGAGTTACTTCGATCGTCGTGCTTAATAGACAATTAACTTGCAGCATGTTAGACTAATTTTTAGTCTAGGTAGTAGGGATGAAGACCTACCTAAAATGAT